AAATATTTGAATCCCACCACTGATGTTGAATGGCAATCTGTATCAAGCCTTGTCATGTACACTCTGACCCCCCACCTATGCAAAATAGGGTTAAATTGTAAAATTTTGGTAGCATTGTTAAAATGTACAGTTGACATAATATGCTATTTAGACTGTGGAAGTTTACTCTTAGGTAAGTATTAATAAAGTATTAATTTAGCTAGTTTTTTAAAAATATATTTTCTCTACTTCACTGTACAGGTATAAGTATACAGGAACAACAATAATTTAATTTTAAGACATTTGTTCAAATGTTTAAAGGTATAATTTTTGCTTTAAATCTGATGTGTATTATTTAAAAAATATCAGAATAAAACAAGTTCGTACTAACTAACACTTAACTTACCCCCGAGACCCAAAGAAACTGTCAGTGTCAGGAAATGCTGAGCAGTACTGACGAAAATAGCAATTCAGTGGGGAAGCAAAACATTCAAAAGTAACTCCAAACTGTTTGTTCAAACAATCAAAGACAGATACTGGTAGTGCTACTTGAGTGCTGTGACCTTCGTTAGGACTGGAGCCAATGAATGTCTAGAAATAATACATCAATTTTTCTGAGATCAAATAATCACAAGAATTAAATATTAAGCTCATTCCTATATAAAGAATGAAATAAATGTATATGAAATAATCTTTTATGCTTTATACAAGGAGAAAAGTTGGAAGTTATGTTAAACTACAAAATGATGGGGATGAGTTCTACACCAATTACAAATCCAGTCTGTTGGTGCTTAGTTACATACACATTTAAGTTGCTATGCTGTACTGTACTTCTCCAACAGCATCTTATCCTGTTGGTATGGTCAACTCCTATATTATTCCAGCCTTCCCTTTTTTAGAAGTGAATAAAAAGCAATCTTCCCCCACCCCTTTTCATACAATGTGGCTAAACCAAAAACCTTCTATGGATGAAAACAAAGCTGCTGAAATTTTCAAGAGTTCTGAAATTTGAGTCAACAATGCAATATTAAAGTACAATGTAATTTATAAAATTATGGTTTCTGTCGAACAAACTCTTCCAAACTATTTATTAAATGTTTCTCTCACACGACTTATATTAATGATCCACCACTCCTTCTATTATTTTTAAGAAAGGTAATTCTGTTGTAATAAACTTAATGTTATTTTTACAATACAGTCTTTAGTCTTAATGTAAATCATTGTAAGTAAAACAAAAAATTATTAAAATATGTTTTCATGTACAAATTTACTCACCTGATACCTCTTTAACATGCACCAAACCCTGGCTAAGAAATACTCAAACTTGCGGTCATCAGTGCAGTTCCATCTGTACAGTTGTTCCTGGTAAAGAAAAATTTGTACTTTTCTTTATGGGTCAATGTTTAAAAGCTAATGTAAATTCATTTTTAACTTACTAAACTCAATGTGTTTTAACCCTATCAGGATGGGCATCTGTATTTTACAGAACCTTGTAACCATGGTGATATACATACTATAACTCTCAAAGTACTTATTGTATCTTCACAAAATTTGGCAAGCTTTCGGTAAATTTTAAGTCTTTCATAAACAAAATATCAGAATTATTAATTAAGTATTCTTACTAAAACTTTCTTTTTATTTATATGTTGTCAGAGTGGTGACTGCTAAGAGTGCAAAGTGAATTTCATATTAAGATTAAGAATACTTTTCTTCATCTGAAAACTTTATTTGCATAATCCCTAAAATCTTCTAATATCAAATGATTTTTTGTAGAAAAACTTTATATTTTATCTGTTGTTTTCTCCACCCTAACTCTATACGAGGTTGGTCAATTTGACTGACCTCGTAACCACCCCAAAAAATCAAAATAATTCTTTTTCTTTCTAGAATGACTTCAAATTGTAACATGAAACTTCAGTTGTTTATCCTAAATTGCTTAAACATAATAACAGTATACATCTGTTTTTACCTAAATTTTATTGTTTTATTGCTCTTGAACCATGTCTAAACTAATATTCCCATCATAAAATTTGAAATTACTTGGTAAACACGCACCTCATGTTACCCATCAAATTACATGATACACAGGCCACTCGCAAGATGCTCTTGAGTGTATGTCATGAAAAAAGTTTTATTGTGATTCTTATTCTTTATTTTACCTAATCTAATCTTATCTAATCTCAAAATTTTCTAATTTTTTTATTTTATTTACTTTTATAATAATAAATAAATAAATAAAAGATTCACATGAAAAACAAGAAATAAACACAGAATAATAATATGCAAAAAGCAGAATATGTCCCATAACTATCACAATTATTCTGGCTTTCTAACTATACAACAAGAGCCATTAGAAATTCAGATAAGCTCATCAATGTGTACCCCATGGGAATCAAGCTTCAACTGGAAGCATAACTGACAATCATTTGTGCAGAAAACAATTTAATATAATATGTCATTAGATAGTTTGAAACTTTGTCTTTCTACTGGTTATAAATAATATAGTATTAAACATCAGAGGGAACTAATCGCAATTTGTGAAAGAAAAGATGTGACAGGTAGGCATGGCAGGAGAGGTCTCATTTTCTAGTTTATAGCTCTGAAACCAAATAAGATTGAAAGTTATAAAAATTATGTTTTTCCTGAGCAATAACTACATTAAATTGAGTAATTTATGTTAAATTCCAAGCTTCTCAGAGGGCTGATAAATAAATTTAAGAAGAAGGATGACAGATAACAAACATCACAGTTATTATACTAGGGGAGATTGAGGTTTTTCAATATTTTGTTTTAAAATCAAGAACTTAAAACTTGAATAATATTAAAACTTGATATATTAACTTCATTTTGATGCCAAGTTTATTCAAATATATTGATAATAAAGTAGTTTAATTAAATTTTGAATGTAATTCTATGAAAGGTTGTGACATGCGAGCTTTGACCTACCTGATGTTAAAGGGTTAAGTACTTTTACTTCTTATCCAAACTACCCCAAAAATCGAAATAATTTTAAATCATTTTAAAATATGTCATACAAACTGAATGCCTATTATAATGCTGCAGATTCAAGTATCAGTAGTACTTACTGTAGGCCTATCAGAAGTCCTTTTATCCAATTGTCTCTAGTACCAATAATACCAGTTGTAACCAATCACAAGTCCTTGTATCTGGATATCTGTAGTATGAACTGTAAGCCCATCACAAGTCCTTGTGTCTATAGTACCAACTGTAAGCCTATCACAAGTCCTTGTATCTATATATCTGTAGTACCAACACCAACTGTAAGCCTATCACAAGTCCTTACATCTATATGTCTGTAGTACCGACTTCATTAACAAGTCCTTGTATCTATATGTCCCTAGTACCAACTGTGAGCCTATCACGAGTCCTTGTATCTATATGTTTGTAGTATTAACTGTAGCCTATCACAAGTCTTTGTATATATATATATATATATATATGTGTGTGTGTGTGTCTGTTGTACCAAATGTAATCTATTGCAAGCTTTAGTAGTCAGGTGTCTATAATATTCACTACAGGTCTCTCATAAGCACTTGAATCTAGCTATTAATTGTATTGTACGTCTCAGGTATGTGTTACATTTGTACACTGTATGTATATCAATGAGTGTATGTGTGTGCCACATTTTTATAGCTAGATCTTGTAACCAAATGTACAAACTATATATGATTACCATACTGACACACACACACATCAAAGTTTTGTATCTGTTACTAACCAAATATTAGCTTTACTAATACGGAGAGTCCAAACTCATGTCTAAAATTATATTTATATTTGCACTTTAATTATCTGCTTGTGATCAAATTAACTGACATTTGAGACTGACAGTCTATTTCCTGGTCTTCAATGTGCCTTAAATATAAATATCATAACATTCCTCCAAAATCAAGTAAATTCATAGACCTAGTATTTTCCAAAAATATTTAAAAAAGGCATTGCTTACTAATTTCTGAAAATATAGCGTGTTTATTCGAACAACATCTCCACGAAACTGGAGGAGGGTTACATCTCTATCTGTGAGTAGGTCGACTCCAGGTAATCGTGGAGTTGAGATAGCAAATTGGACTGGATAACAAAATACCTTCTTGGGATTGTTGACTTGTAGTGCACTGGTGATTTCTGTGGAACAACACATTGTGTGTATTCATTACAAAACAGACCAGTTACCTTACAATATCAAATTAAAAAATATACAGGATTTATAAACATAATTTTTAAAATAACTATTTATTGTTTGGAATATACTTTTATCTCCTCACACTTTTTTTTTAGATTTATAAATATTTATTTTACAAATAACTACCTTGGAATTTCTTATCTGTAGCCCCTAGAATTCTACATATGGTCAACAATAACATCAACAAATTTGTTGAATGTCATTGTTGAAAACATTTAATATCACACTGTGTATCAGTCACACTGAATTATGTATGTTCCATCATTCTTAGGTAAACAACTAACATTTTGTTTCTGGAATTTCTAAAATTGTTTGATACCAGATCATGTCTCACAGTTTCAGTGTGTACTCTTTATCATTCTGAAGTAAACATGTTTAGCATTCTTGTGTATGATAAGTAGCTAAGGTTAAAACAATTCACTTATTATTAAAAGTGTTACACACGAGTTATGTTCACCAACTACCAGATTTGTGTATAAAGGAATTTTTCATGAAATATATACAGAAGTGTCTTTTCATACACTGAAATTGTGGAAATTAACTTAATGAAATGGTAGGAAAATAAAAGAAGATTGTAACAACATCCCTTCCAAAGATTTTTCTTCTTCACACAAAAACTGCCACAAATATATAAAAAAACATTGTGTACTGAAGTATTTAAACTAAACGATTGCATTGTGATGTCATACGCTTAGTATATATTTCCGATAATACAAACACTTCACAGACCTATCTACTTATTTTTTAACGGAATTTGTGCAAATCTATCTGATAATGTAAAGCTTGGAATTAAATCTTAAAATTCCACATTTTAAAAATGAAATCTGTACTGATGTAAAATCAAATCTTTATTGATGTCACAAATATTACATGATATATGATTGCATTAACAGTGTGAAAAACATGTATCTGAAGAATTTTCTAAGTAATACAATGGATAAAACAGTGCAAACCTACAGTCTGAACTATCTAATTATACTATTGGTTCTTACTACATACCCTGTATATCATGCTGATTTAAAATTGCCCAGTGTTTTTCATGTATTTTTTTGACATAATCACATGACATGTGATATATTTTAGTGCAAATTCCTTCTACTGATGTTTTAGCTGCTTCTACAAGATGGGGTTGGCACTGTTGCCTTAGGTGTGCCAATCTTTCCTGAAGATACAAAAACAATGAATAATCTTAAAATATCAATAAATAATAAAAATATTAATATCTTATATACAGTCACACAAGAAAGAATTTCAAAACAGCGTTTCTGGCTAGTAATATTCAAAATCAAAATATAAGGTTTGATATTTCAGTCGAATAAAATCACATGTTTGATTCAAAACTTTCAAATGTAAAATCACGTGAGAGTAAAAGCTATTTAGAAAAAAAAAAATTATATATATAAATTTTAAAAAATCAACTATGCATTTTGTATTTCACTAGAGTGAAATCATGGACTAATTTAAAGTTTTTATTAAATTCTTAAAAAACAACAGAGTAACAGTTAACTGGAAAAATGTAAAAAAATTAGGCCTACAAAGAAACAGCACCTAAGATAGCCAACAAGAGAAACAAGAATCCTCCAAATCCTTGATATGATTGTAAAATGACATATTGAAATTCATTCTTTCACCATTGCTTTGAGAATAATTTTACAAATGTTTGACATTCAATATTAGAAAAGAAATGAATAAAAGTTAACATTTTCCTAAACTGAAAATGTATTTCCCATAATACTTACCTCCACTGTCATTATAGCTCCAGGGTTTCTACTCTTTGCCCATCTAAGCATTAAAAACACTTGCTCTAGTCTTTTATACCCCAATCGATTGCCTTTGGCAAATTCTAATTTGCAAAATTCTCCACCAACTTCAATGCACCCTCTATCTAGATACTGTATACATGCACCTCATTCACACAATGTAATCACTTTTTCGAGACATAAATAGGCTTTTAGTGTCAGCAGAGGTAAGTATATTATTGAAAATACATTTTCAGTTTAGGAAAATGATAACTTTCAAAACATACTTACCTCCACTGACATTATTGCTAGAATCCCATATTGAGAAGGTGGAGGAGTCAGTGCAGGCATGAACTATACAGAAAGCATATGTATATAAGAGTGTACCAAGATAAAGATGGTACAAGAGTGGGAGAACCACACTACATCTAGCACAGGAATGGTCTTCACCTGGAACTCAGTTCCTATGTCAAAGGCGAAACAGCATATGAGTAATCATCAGTATAGACCAGCCACAACCAGACAGCCAAGGTTCCAAACCTCAGGGTTGGAATTAAGGGGTCGTGGTACCTATATCCCACGTTGGTGGCTAGGGCTATT